TTCTATACAGTAGAAGGGACAGATCCTGTATCTGTTATTCACATCTCTAAATATGCTTAGCGGCATACCTAACGCATAACTGTACGTCTACCAGTATTTCAGATAGCATTAGTTATGAATCAAAGCATACGGCCCCACATATCAGAGAATGTAATAACTTCAAGTCTGAGGATAGTTATAGCAAGGTCGATTTGAGAATACTGATAAACACATTACTGTAGATCCATGCAGTATTCTCAAGATGGGTCAATCCAGTCACATATTATCAATATAATATGCACCTACGTACAGATTAAGATATCACAATACCTATAGTCTATGAGACGCAACTATCTCATCTCGTACGTACTAGTCTTGATACGTTATGACGTCCGTATTATCATAAAGTGCGACTAGGGATATTCTAGACATAGCCTTCATTAAGAAGTTACAGTCTCATAATCAGAACATCGTAGTCCTCATCTATGTTACTGAAGCGCTATCGTCTATGGACTGAAGCTATGTTATGTGACACGAGATATAAAACATACTTCAAGGCCTTTCATTCATGATAAAGTGTACAGTTACATAGGTATTTGATTGCCGCTAGGGCACCTAAATACAACAGCGTCATCAAGCCGGCCTTTGGCCATTTGTCTCCCAGGCTCGGAAGGAGATCAACCCGACGCCGATTCGGGTCTTCTACTCCAACCTCCGACGTGAGGGCGACGTGCTCTACTCTCTTGTCAAGAGCACGCCGATAGAGCTTTCCGTTGAGCAGCTTGGGTGCATCGCCGGCCTCCCCTACCAAGGCGATGACGTCTCCCACTATGGCGGAGAGGACTGGGTGCTCAACTACGAGGGCCTTATCCTCAACGAGCTTGGCATCACCGAGCTCATCCGCCATGCCTCGTGCCGCCCCACCATCCACTCCGCTAACCCCGAAGGCCGTCTTGTTCTCTACATCGTGTCCCGGATCATCAAACCCCGTAAGCACGGCCACACAATCATGTCCGGTGAGGACCTCAAGCTCATCCATGCGATCATGCACTCGGCCCCAATCAATTGGGCAAAGTTTGTCATGATCAACATGACGATTGCCGCGTCCACCGACCACGATCACCTCCTCCCGTACCCGTTCGTGGTGATGGACATCCTTGAACGGTTCAAGGTGATCACCACCGTTGGCCCACTCACGAAGGCCACGAAGATTTGGGCGATCAGCACCCAAATCTTCATGAAGCGGTCGGACAACGCCGGACCTGCCACTGCCACTACCGCGCCACAGCGCCGTTCTGCTGCTGGCCCAGCCGAACCCCAGGCCCGGGCCAACCTTGCCTCCATCACCGACTCCCTCAACCGGCTTCACTTCAAAGTTTACGGGATGGATGGCTACCTTGAGCGGCTCGACGAGGCTGTTCAACGCCAAGCGGACGCCATGAACGCATACTTCCATCGCGTCAACTACGTCCCCCCACCGTACCAAGGCACGTTCCTTGGGCAAGTGTACGGTGACGAGGACGAAGATGATGGCTCCTACTGTAACACCCTAATCCGTCCAGGTCTGCAGCCCCTTTCAGACTAAAGTATTTAACTTGGTAATCGTAAAATTTAAAACTTTTCAAACATACTTTATTAATCTCAATAATATTTTTCATAACATATACAGTACGGAGTATTTAACAATATTGCGGAAGCGAATTTAATATTGACATATCATAAATTATTTCAAAACTTGTCACATCCATCCTGACAATCTCGCCCCATCTGCCGCCAGGATCACATTAATCTTTCTGTTTACCTACGTGTAGCAAATAAAACACACTACACGCTCAGCGGTGAAGCTGAGTAAGCATATCTAAAGCGTCAAACATCCACATAAATTGAATCTCAATTCATAATCAACCATTTGATATCATGCACACAATATATGATTCAAACATTCATGATATTCTCAATATTTTATTCTAAGTTATTTGATATTCAATATCTCAACCATGCTCTTAAATTATTCTTAATCTAAGGCCAAATCATTTTATAACAAGCTCTTAGCTATTCCTAGTATAAGGCAACATTTCTAACCAGGCCCTTAAACTATAAATAGTTTAATGCAGAACACAAGAATCGATAATCCACCCTATGAGTCATGTGGATTACGTACCAACGGAACAATGATTTGTCGGGTGGGTGATATCCGGTCTAGATCCCGTACGTACGTTTTAACCCGAAATATGAATTGGTCAAGTAGGTATATCTTAGAGTTCTTCTAGATATCCTTAATAATCATCATCAATATACAAGTGGGTATATCTTAGAGTTGTTCTAGATATCCTTAACAATACGATTCATTAATTCATTATTTTCACTTTAACAATTCATGATCATCATTCAAAACGTTCATCATCAATTAATTCATTATAATCGATTTTTACAATTTAAATAATCAATAAATTCATTATAATCGATTTTTCCACTATAAATAATCGATTAATTAATAAAAAATCGATTTTTACAATTTAAATAATCCATTAATTCACAATAATCGATTTTTACAATTTAAATAATCCATTAATTCATAATAATCGATTTTTACAATTTAAATAATCAATTAATTCATAATAATCGATTTTTACAATTTAAATAATCCATTAATTCACAATAATCGATTTTTACAATTTAAATAATCCATTAAATCATAATAATCGATTTTTACAATTTAAATAATCAATTAATTCATAATAATCGATTTTTACAATTTAAATAATCAATTAATTCATAATAACCGATTTTTACAATGCAAATAATCGATTAAATGGTACTGACTTCGAACCACCGATCTGAATAAAATTTTAATCGATTTTTAGTAAGTAAATAATCGATTTTCGACCACTGTTCATCATCTTCTTCCTCGGGTCAGTTTTAACATTATCATTTTTTAATCACCAAACTTTAATTTAATTATATAAAAATGTTCTCCAATGTTCACGTATCATTTTAGAGTCATTAATTCGTAATTTTAACAACAATTTCATGGTTTATGATTCTTGGTTTTTCAAACATGTCAAACACAAAACTCAACCAAACGACCGTTTATGAACGTAGAAACGATCTATACGAACATTCTAGTCATTAGATATATCTACGGGCTTACCTCGAAGCTTAACGGAGGTTTTGGAAATTTTCCGGTGAAACTTCCAGCGTTGATTACTCCCCACTCCGGCGACTTCGGCGGCAACCAACAACACCAGACTACTCTCTTCACTCTTATGAACACAATGGTATAATTTTCCAGAACATTGGTGCAAAATTGATAAGGATGGAGTATCCTTATATAGAAGAAGAGAAGGGGAAGAAGACATTGGTAAGCTGACTCATTTCTACGTAGAATTTTCTTAGTGCGCAGGTCGGCGATTCTAATTGATCTACACGCCCTTCCCTGATTGGGACTAATTTCGGTCCCAATCGGGGTACTCTTTTTGGTCCAACTTTCTCCGAATTGAAATTCGTTTGCACCGTTGCGATCAGACAGTCGAACTCTATCCAACGATATAATTTTTATATTCATTCGTTATACTTTTTCCGACACCACATTTTTGGGTGTTTGACTTTAATAGAGTAAAAATTGGTTTAATTGACCTTTTTCATAAAAGGTTCTCTCATTTAATTCATATCAATTATTCTTATGATTTATTTCAACAAATCATTTCAAAGTTCACATTATAAACAAATCCCTAATTTGGGTCTATACTCTAGTTCCCCAAATTAAGATCATACAGTAAGTCAACATATTGGATTTATCTCTATGAGATTTATCCAGATTGTGATATTGGATATTAATATATGTTTTATATCGGCCCAAAGCCCAACAACAATTTATTTTAATCAAAACAAATTTGATTAATTGAATAATTATTCATTAATAATTCTAGGGTATATTTTGGGGCGTTACACCTACGCCCCGTCAAGCTCCTCAGACGAGGACGAGTTCGACGACGCCGTTGACGGTGATGAGATGGACGTCGATGACGACGAGGAGGAAACCGAAGACGAAGACTAGGACGCCCCTAGAATTTCTATCTCTTTTATTTTAATTATCATGTTTCTTAATGCTTCCGTTGTACTCCGCTATTTCCCATCTTCAATAAATAAAAGTTATCTGTTATCTTTTTGTTAATGTCAAAAAGGGGAAGAAAAGGGCTATGCATATACTAAGGGGGAACGCCTCTAAAAACGAGACCGTTTGTTTTTAATCCGACTAATTTCTTTTAAGCACAAATTAAGGGGGAACTTTTTCACAACTCTTTGAAAATCAAATATTCCTTAATATGCATATCCCCGTCTTGTTTGCCATTATCAAAAAGGGGGAAATTGTTGGAACACGGGTTTACGTCTACGTCGTACTATACTGTGTTCGTTTTTATGACAGGTTTTGATAATGCCAAACCGCCGTGACACAACAAGGCTAAAGTGAGCAAAACCAAGGCGAAGAAACACGGAATGACGACATGTGAACCAAGAACCAAGAATCAAGAACAAAGAATTAGAATTGCATCGAGTCGGTCTTAATGTGATCAAGACCGGCACAAACTTCCAAATCTTGGCTCTCTAGGCTCATTTCATCAAAACCCTTTTTGCAAATTCAAAAATGTTTTTCATAAGTTTTTAAACCTGGCTAAAAACACTTGGAGTTCGCCCAAACCAAAACCAAGTCATCCGGAGTTCGGCTTTCAGAAACCGGCGTTCGGCTTTCAGTTTTCGGCATTGGTTTTTGGGCATCCGAACCAACCAAGTGGTTTTTAACGTTTTTTTGATTAGTTTTTACTTCTGGGCATATTTAAACAGTTCTCCAAAAAAAACGTTTCAAAAACCACCTTCCGTTTATGGTCGTTTAGTGAAAACCATGCAAAACGACACAAACTTGGTTAGCCATGGGTTTCAACTAAATGACGTGGTTTTTGAGTTGTTTTACTTGAATTCTTAGCAAAATGCAATAAACAAATGTTTTCAAGACTTGGTTTTTATTTTGGAGAACTTACGTTTTTGACATCGGCTAACGGCATGACTAAACCAACCATGGGTCTGGCTAAACCAGCCCAACAGCGATGTTGGTGCAACCAACAGCGCTGTCTGGCTTGAGTAGCTGAAAACCATAGTTTGGCGTTAAGTCTTCCAACAGCGATGTTGCACACTAGACATCGCTGTTGAGCCAAGGTTGGGTTTCCAGAAACTTTTGGAACATCGATGTAGCCTTCCCTACAGCGATGTCCAACCTAAGCCAAAAATATAGTGCATTGGCAGAAAGTTTTTGGACAGCGATGCTGACCCAGCAACAGCGCCGCCAGGCAAAAAACTCCATCCTCAAAGTCAGACCTAAACAGCGATGTTCAAGTATTGAACAACGATGGAGGGACCTGACAGTTAGAAGGGATTTAAGGCTAAAACCTTCCTTGTTTGGAAGTCAACAGCCAAAACAGCGATGTAGGATTATTGGACATCGCTGTTGGCATGACCGTTGCTTCCCAATTTTCAAGCCTAGAACAGCGATGTCCAAGCCTAGGACAGCGCTGTCTGGGTGAATTTCAGCAAATCCAAATTTAATCAAATCCCACAAATTGTGCCAATCACCCCTTAAATGTTTTGATCCGTTGGAGCCTATTTTTTCACTATAAAATGGGGTGTTTGGGTCTGTTTTACATCAACACATTGCTTCAAAATCTCTACTCCTTCATTGCAAATCATTCATCCTTTATTCATGGCCTTTTGAAAGCCATTTTTGTGAAGCTTGTGGTGTGTTCTTGAGCGTTCTTAGTTACTCATTATCCACTCTAAAAGAGAGTATTGTTCTTGAGTGTTTTTAGTGTTATTAGACACTTGACAAGAGAAAGTATTTCTCTTGTTGTTCGAAGGAAGGGTTGTTTCCTTCGAAGATTCGTTGAGGTTCGTGTGACTCGAACTCTCAAGTTGTACGGGTTTGTTAAGCACCGTTAAGCTTAACGAGATAGTAGTGTAGCTCGAGAGAGTCTCTCGGGAGGCTGGATTAGCCACAAGTTGTGGTGAACCAGGGTAAAATCGGTGTGCCTCTTACTCTTCTCTTTACTTCTCGTTTATTCATTTTTATTCCTGCGATTTTTTGATCAAACGCGATTCACCCCCCTCTAGCGTTGGTCTATTATTCTAACAGAACCAATAGATCCTTCTACGCCCGATGTCCGGGGTTTCTAATCCCCATTCGCTCCGACTTGCGGGGTCTATTAAGGGGTCGGCAGTTCAAGTACTCATTGATGGTGGTAGCACTCATAATTTCATTCACCCGACCCACGCGGAACGTCTGTGCTTAATTTTGCATCCGGTAACGCCGTTTCTGGTATATCTAGGGAATGGTGATTCTCTACGATGTTCCTACTATTGTCCCAAGAGTCCGTTAATTTTGCAAGGACATGAGTTTGAAGTTGATTTGTATTTGCTTCCAGTTCATGGTCCCGATGTAGTGCTTGGCGACCAATGGTTACAAGGGCTGGGTAAAGTTTCTCACGATTACTCCACGACGACCATGGAATTCCACCAC